ATATAAAAATCACTAATTCACTTACTTTCTCTCTGATTCTATGGAGCAGAGTCCTCCCTAAGAAGCTGATAACCATTTAGCTAGACAGGAAATTATCTCGCCTTTTATGGAACCTGAAGGTTCATTACCGCCCTTGTCCTGAGCCAAATCAATCTAGTCCACACCATCTCATCCTATTCTCTTAAGATCCATTTTAATATTATCTTCCCATCTACGTTCAGGTCCCTCGAGTGGTTTTTCAGGCTTTCCAATCGAAATTTTGAGTGACAATACAGACGGAATTCATATTGGACTACACACATATCGAAACATAGACATATTGAACTATATAAATGATACTATGGATAATGTGTTTTATGTCGAGTTGCATTCTGGAGCACACTGCATCAGAACGAAACGTAATTCAGTGATGTCTTTTCTCAAAGAGCCTACAAATCGATAGTAAAGGTTTTTTGTTCTTGCAGCTTACATTTTTCTTCTTCTTCTTCTTTTTCTTCTTCTATGGCTCTCCGGTCCGTATTCGGTCCATGGCCTCCTCAATTCTCCTCTTTCGTTCGGTCCTCTGTTAGGTCCGTCTGTCCGAGGCTTTGATCGAGGTTTCGAAACATCTTCCTTTTTACGGTGCAAGGTTGTTAGCCTTGCGAACAACCCCCAACCTGGAGGACCGCATTGTGAATATTATACCAGGAGTTTGTTACAGTTGCGTTTAAACTAGAATGGTTAAGGCAAAACTATTGATATAAAAGAGACATGTAGCATGGTTAGAATAATTATAATAATTTGAAGACTTTGTGGAAATAGAATGTTTGTAAGCTGAGTCATAGAAGAAAGGAATGTATATAAATGGTTATTGAGAACGGTGTGGTAATACAGAATAGACGTAACCAGATCGCTGGCTTTTGTAATGATGGTGATGGACTTGAAGACTGTAGGCCTATAGCAACAGGAATGTTTTTTGAATAAACGAGTACCTACAGTTTCTCATGAAGTATAATACCAGACGAGTTAGTTTTAATCAATTTAACCCCCAAAATTATCATTACTTGTACCACCAACTTCCCTTTGTGAATAAAGTCTGTAGTTAATTCACTTTTAAATATGCATATATACTACAAATGATAATAGCTATGTGTAGTTTACGGTCTATTACCAGATGTCTCCTCCTACGCTGTTTCACTGGCGTTGGCGGTATTTCAGGCCTTGGGTCATATTGATGTCGTGAGCAAACGCCATGTCACCGTTCTTTTATGCGCTGGTGAAGGAAGGTGAAATTTGTACATTTTATTAAAGTTTGCTAGAACCAAAGGACATATTGGTGGACTGTGTTTAAAACTAAAAGAGCAAGTACTCTGAATGTATTTTGTGAAAGAAGGTATCAAACAGATGGAGCTCTACTCCCAGTATTCTAGATGGACGTTGCACCATGAAAGAGAAGAGCAGAACACGAAGAAGAGAAATCCGTCCGAGAATTACAGAAAGAGACAAACATCACGGAGGGTGAAATGAAATGGGATGAGATGTAACCATAGCAACGTCAGATCTTTTCCCTCCGTCTCTTTCACTCCATCAGCCAGTACCTACTATGCATCTCCTCCCTATACCCTGACCTCATCTTTATGAACCACCACAGCTATGGCATGTAACTTCCTGTCTTGTGAGAAATCCTTAAACTAACCAAGCCGTCTCATTTAATGGGAAAAGTGGTGTAAATGGCAGTCTGTAAAATCTAAATTTAAAATTTAAAATACAATATATTTCTTACTTTCTAAAACTGAAACAATTGTGTGCCAGGGTGTTGAAATTGGACTGGGATATTTGCTTTGTCAAAGTTTGGTAGCATTTTAGATAGATATTAAGAAAGTACGTTTTTACTATTATCCCACGTAGTCAATTTAAAAATTAACCAACTCCTTTTGCAATTCTGTGGCACATACAAGCACAATCAAGCTTGCATGTATCATGTATATATAGATCATAGAAACCCAACATGCCAGTCTAAGTGGCTTATCCTTCCAATATATCTCAATCCCTGAAGCAATATCTGTTCTTGAGACTTGTCAACAAAAATTGTATATGTGTTTCTTGTTTCTTTCACACATGTCTTATATCCCTATCTTAACCCTCATTGATCCAGTAACTAACGACACTAGTTGAAGAGCACTCTTCTTCATGTAATTTTCTCCATCGCATTATTTGTTTATGTCTTTTAAACACAAATATTATTCTCCTCAGCACTTTGTTTCCAAATATGTTCAGTAACGTCTCTCAGAGAGAGACATTAATACTGGATACTGGGAACGACCCATTCTTCAAGTGCCTGAGCACTACGTGTCCCAACTTTTCTTTGGCTTCATCTATAGACATTCGGTAGGACTCCTTGGACGAGGGATCGGCCCGTCGCAAGGCCTCTACCTGTACACAGGACAGCACAACACAGAGAAACGCGGACAAACATCCATGGCTTGAGTGGGATTCGAACCCATGGTCCCAGTGACCAAGCGGCACAAGACCCACGCCTCAGACCGCGCGGCCATTAATATTCTATATAAATTTAAAACAACAGGTAACATGTTTGGCATCCAACTAACAGCCTCTCTTCAAACATACTAGAGTATCATGAATCGTGTCTCATTCTGCATTATCCAAAAAGCTTTAATTACGTACGTCATAGAAAACCATTCAGTTAGCTACTGAACATGTGAATCTGGCAGTCAGAACACATTGTTTGGTACTATAAATAAAATTGTTGTGAAGTTACCCCATGACTGCATAGAAAATAAATAGCAACTCCCATATCATACGTTCCATTTCAGTGTTATTCACATGTCCACAGTAGGAGCTTGTATGTAGTGCTGATAAAGTACTGAAGTATTACCTATCTTCTTTCATTGTTCATAATTATTTATTTTTTAATGTGTTTAGTAGGAGTTGACAACAAAAACAATCAGCACTTCTGTACAACTATCACATTCAAAACTCATAAATTCTGATTATGAGCTATCATTAAGCAGTCCAAGTGTTGAAATACCTCACACAAGAATAGCCGCAATCACATTTTACACAATTTGATGTTTACAAATGTCTCAGTGAACAATTTATATTTTACTTCTAAGGCTTTACAAAGAAGGAAGGGGTTAGCAGAACACATACATTTTGCCCCAAGTTCTAATATCGCAGTCCATTTAGTTTACCCTGACATATCCAGAAATGTCTAAATAATGTCTGTGTAGCGATGAAGATAACGTGTAGCAAATCTTCTGCACTTTTAACCTCATTCAGTGCTAAGGAATATAACAGTCAGTAAGCTGAAGAAGAATTAAAAATTTTGAATTGTCATGATGTGAGAAATTAACAGAAGGTGTAATGATATAATGAGAACGTCCTGCATAAAATCGCAGTCTTGAAAACCTCATGCTTCAGTCTCTTCCATTTTGAATTTACATTAAGCAACTAAGGCACAAGAGAGAAAGACATGGGATTTCAGTTTACAGTTACAGTTTCTGTTTACAAACCTCAACAACTGTAATTGTAGAAGGGAATTGCACACAGTAACTTTTATGTGTGCTTCTTGTAATGGTCCTGTGGATCTGTGATGCTCTCTACTTAAAATAGTTATCACATAATGAATGAGGTGGCCTATATTGCTAGGAGCTGCCTCAAACTCTCACGTACAAAAGCTTGTGACCACACATCTCTCCCCTCCCACTCCATCCAAACACAAACCTGACAGCCTCTATACATCATGCTTCTCTTGCTTGCTTAATTATATTTATATCGAGCGTCTTTCATCATGACAGCTTAAGCCCTGATGTTGTTTGGTCTCCGTTGTGAGCAGTTTAAGTTATAGACATAATAATCTGTAGTCCCTCTCATTATTTGCCTCTTAATAAACCTGTTTGTCTGCTTTTACAGCTTTCATGACCTCAGTTCATTTCATCTACTCTTTGAATCTCTGTTATCAAACATTTATTTTCCCCAAACTTCAAGGACATTCTGTCTCCACTATTTCAAGTACAATTTTCATGTTATATTTATTACCAAATGAGGATTGTTCTATAGATTTACATATCAAATATATTTCTTTATTTGGTTTATGTAATTGTATTTGACAAGCGCAGAGGTTATGTAGCATTGTTGTTTGTTTATTTTTATGGTGCTTATTGAAACAGGTCTTGTATGGATAACTGGATTATAAATTGGTAAAAACTTGTAAAAAATGTGTACTGGAAAGATCTGGCTGAAGACAGGGACAGATGGCAGGCTCTTATAAACAGAGTAATGAAACACTGGGTTCCATGAAAGGTAGAAATTTGACTAGCTAATTGATTATGAGCTACTCAAAAAAGAATGTGCTCCATTGGATTTATGATGATAATATTTGGATTTAACACGAATAAGTAATAGAAGAAGGCAGAAAATTAATATGAGGAGCTTCATAAATTAATATTAAGGTGACCAAATCATGGATTATGAAGTGTATGGGGAGACAAGAAATGCATAGAAAATGTTATTTAGAATACCTGAATGGTGTGTGACCTGTCATAGGTGAAAGGATAAATTTAAAGTGGACCTTAAAATAATGTGGACTGGATTCAGCTGACTTGGAATGGAGTTCAGTGGTACATTCATGTGAATATGGTACAAAAACTTTGAATTCCATAAAATACAGAAAATATCTTGAGTAGCTGAATGGCTGTTAGCTTCTCAAAGAATTACTTTGTTACGAAAAAGTTAATTTGATGGTGGATACATCATATATCATTTTGACAAAATATGCTGGAAAGTGACCATTCTAAAGGCCAAAACAGAGACAGAGGTTTTACACGAACATTAAAACTAATGTTGTGTAAATTGGGTCTCGGTAATGTGAAGTGGATGGAACTGACTTAGGTTAAGCTAGTGTTTAACCATCATGTTCTAATTACCAGAGGATTAGTTATATATGATACTTTCCCTGTCTATGAATGAAGTATTGAATTGATTTTAGTGTTTGATTTTAGGTGTCATCATCATGCAGTTCTGTGTATGTGGATGGCTCTGAAATTCGTGGATCATCTAATGCCTCAGTGCTGGTTAAGTATGGGACCTACACCGGCCTAGCCAAATTCACAGTATGGATGCCAGAGTTTCCTTTGGAAGTTAATGTGGCTGACTTTCGGCTCAGCCAGGTGAAGGGTTGGAAAGTACCTGAGGAACATGTAAGGTAAGCTGAATTCTGAGTATGGGTTTTATATTAAAATATAATTACAGTGAAACCATAAATTTAAGTAATCATGGTTCAGTTTCTGGCAGAAGCAAGCACTTTGTCTTTTATGGCACGTCCAGACAAGTTCTCACCAAATGTTCTGTTAAGTACGTACTTCTATCTAGTGTTGTGGTGTAGAATGTGTGGATCTTTATCTTAACACCCGTATATGCCTTCATGGCTTTATAATTATGTTGAGGATCAACTTTATATTTTCATGCAAACTTTATTGTTTTCTTTATGCGCCATGGTGCTGCTGATTTTTCAGCTGGTATGATGTATTTCTTCTTAACTGTAAATATGATGGAAAGAGAGTGTTAAAGCAGAATTTAAATAATTATATATTTCTTTATTAGAAATGCCATGGTTTGGTATTAATTATGGGAGAAGTTCATACTACCAGTCAGCTAAGAATCTGCAGGGAAAAGAGTAGTTTAGTTGTTTAACCTCTCAAAGAATATTGGACTAAACCTCAGAGTGAGTGTGGCTTTTAATTTCACCAATGGGCAATAATAATTTCCTCTATCACATTATAAATTTCACAACTAACTAACTAACTAACTAGATGGCTTACCGAACACGAAGGTTCATCACCGAATTAACCAAAGCCCTCCACCGGACCCTGTCCTGGGCCAACAGAATCCAGTCTCCTTCAACTCCTATCTCCCATAGATCCCACCTGACATTATCCTCCCATCTACGTCTAGGTCTCCCCAGCGGTCTCTTCCCTCAGGCTTCCCAACCAAAACCCAGTTCACACCTCTTGTCCCATCCATGTGCGATACATACCCCGCCCATCTCATTCTTCTCGACTTAATCACCCTGACAATACTGGGGGAAGAGTTCAGATTTTTAAGCTCATGATTATGCAGTTTTCTCCATGTCCCAGCGTCTTCTCTCCTGGGCCTAAATATCCTCCTCAACACCCTATTCTCAAACACCTGCAATCTGTGTTCCTAACTCATAGTGAAAGACCATGTTTCGCACCCATACAAAACAACAGGCAAAATTATTGTTTTGTTATACTTTAATTTTCAGGTTTATAGAAATCAGATGGGAAGACAAAATATTTGGAACTGAGAAGTAGCAAGAATTTCCGGAATTTAGTCTCTTCCTAACTTCCTCATGAGTATCATTTTGATTTGTTATTGTTGTTCCCAAATATTTGAACTTTGTAACACTTTCAAAGGATTTATTAGCCCCCCTAACACAATTCTGCCCGCCTGTCTTCTGACGACGAGATACTAACATGTACTTGGTTTTTTTCTGAATTTACTTCTAGCCCTACCTGTCTACTAGCCTCTAGTAAAACTTCTGTGTTCCTCTTTATTGTATTTATATCATCTCCCAATAAATTAACATCATCAGTATATGCCAATAGCTGATGTGTCCCATTCAATTGCAAACCCTCCTGCCTATCTTGGACTTTCCTGATGGCATATTCTAGCGCAAAGTTAAAGAGCAAAGGAGACAAAGCATCTCCCTGTTTTAAACCGTTCTTGATGAAGAATGTCTCAGATAAATATTTACCTATACAAATTTTGCTACAGGTTTCATTTAAGCACATTTTTATTAGACTCACTAGCTTCTTTGGTAACCAAATTCAATAAGAATATTATATAACACTTCTCGCTTCACAGAGTCATAGGCTTTTTTTAAATCTATAAATAATTGAAGTACGGTCTCACTGAACTCCCATTTTTTCTCTAGTATCTGACGAATGTAAAAGATCTGATCAATCGTTGATCTGTTTCGTCTGAACCCACACTGATGATCCCCAATAATTTCATTCGCATATGGAGTTAATCTTGCCAGAAGAATGTTTGATAGAATTTTGTATGAGGTTGATACCAGAGAAATTCCTCGGTAATTACCACACTGTCTTGTCCCCCATCTTATGAATAGGAATAATTATGGATTCCCTCTACTTTACAATTAAAACAGGAAATTAAAGAAAATAAATATTTTATATTGATTCACAATTTCCTGTAATTATCAGATTCTGGCATTATTATACTGCATTAAATCATGTTGAGTTTATATATATATTACATATTCCACTAGGATAAATAAAAATTGTTTTTTTATATATCAATACTTTGTTCTCTTTTTCTACCAGTGCAAAAATTAAAAGGTCATCAGATGATACTCAAAATAATCGACCTGGGCCATACAGAGGTTGGCCTAACACAGGAGCAATGCTTCCGGAAGATGTAGGAAATGGTATTGATCAAGAACGTCACACAGTCTGTCGACTTCGTTTCCAGCAAAGTCCAGTAGAGGTAAGTTAGTTTTAAATAATTTCTTTCATCTTTGTATTACATTAAGTAATTGTTATTCTAATTACAATTATTGTTTTCTGCTCAGGTGTATGCCCACTTTCTAGCCACAGACCATGATTCAGGCAGAGTCAGTTATTTTGTAAGTCGTCGAACTTCACTTCGTGTCACTGATCTAGTACTGAGTTTACTACGTGTGTCTGATCCACGAATAGCAAGTTTGCACGGATGTATTTTACAAGGCCGGAGCATTGGAAGAACAGAGGTCCAGGTATGAACCCTTCATTACTTTTAAAATGAAACAGTGGTACTAACCAAGTAACTACCTTCCATTTTCTCCAAATATAATGTTATTCCATAAAGATTCAGGACTGAAGATAGAGGCATAATTATGGTAACTACCTACAAGTTCACACAGTATTACAGCCCAGAAGACCAACAGCAACAACTTTTGAATTGTTCTTCTGCTGATACTGAGATGACTGTTATAAAGATCTGCTCCCTGTATTTTTTCATTTATATTTTAAGATGTTATTTATGTATTTATTATTTTCAGGTTCATTGATATTCTTTGTGGATATTTGGTACTGCTTCTGACTGAAAATATATTTTACAATATTGTTTTACAGAAGCTACTTTCCATATTCAATATATTTATATTAATTTAATTTTTTAAATATTTCAGATTATCTGAAAAAACATTCCATCTTTCTTAGACATTATGAGTCACATATTGATTAGCCGTTAATTACAGTCTTCAGTGAAATGAATGCAAATCTGTCATTTGCTTATACTTCATGCTACTTTACAAATTCCAGTTTCAGCATGTAAGATAGAAAACGTTTAAGGTGTTATCTAACCCTGAAAACATGAATAACAATTACCTTTAAAGTCCAGCCTTTCTATTATTTAGAAACAATTTTCATATGCAGTACCTCATTACTGTACTTTATATCATCAGCGTAAAGATATCTTCTAGTAAATTATATTTCTAATGCTTTGTAATCTGCATACAAAGGATATTTATTCAAAACAATAGTAATAACAGAAGATAACTTAGTTTCCTGCTTTCAGGTACTGTCTCCCATCACAGGAAGAGTAATTGGTGCAAAGGAAGTTCGAGTAGTCAATGACAAAGTGAGCATAACAAGACTTCAGGTGAGAGTGGTCTCGGGCTTGCAGCTGTCCATTGTGCCGGACAATGCAGTAGAGAATGGTTACATTGCGGAGACATCAGTGACTAGGAAGTTGACAGCTCAATACCAGGTACAGGAGATTTTATAGTCCTCATGTCAAGGGATTATGTTCCTCTTATCATGAAAAGCAATATTTACTGTTGCTGTGCTTGCTTCTTCTTGAACCATTCCTTTTTTTTAAATTTATTAAAACATAATTTTTATTGCATTGTTTTGTTTCTCGGATTTCGTAAGGTAAAGTAAGGTAAGGTAAGCTGTCCCACTGCACGCCATATAGGCCCATACTCTTTCTTGACCTCGGCACTAGATGGGGGTGAGTGATCAGCATCAGGCCCCTGGTAATTTCAGGGGTTGGTATGAAATTATAATCTCTCCAGTTGCATCACAAATATTACACAATTTCAGATGATCAGGGATCATCTTTCAGGCATATTCATATTGACACTGCAGACATTATGTACTCTAACTTTTCTCATATCTGCCTGTCCTCGCTGTTGCATGTAATAAATCTTGATTGTCATAATTCAATATTGGAATTTGTCCTAACTTTTGTCAAAATATTCCAATTTTATTTAAAATCAGACAATAATAGTAACACGCAGTTTACATGAAGACAATCACAAGTTACATTTCTGAATGCAGAAGTAGCGTTCATGAATTTCTAGCCGACTCTTCACCCACGCAGCTATATATGGGGAAACCCTGTGATGTCGCCACCATCAAGCTAGACAGGTATCAGCCACTCCACTAGCACAAAGGCTATTGACCCCAGATAACTGTGTTGTCACTGTAGCCATTTGCAAAGGTCAGATCATGCACTGATAGAAGAAACAGTGTCCGATACATACTTACACTACTCATAAAAGGGCGTTCATGAGTTGACAACATAGAAGTAATAACGATTTTTTAAAACTGTGATTTCCTGTTTAAAAGTCCCATATTAATAGTCTGGTTTTTTGGATTTTAGGACTTGTCCATCATCCAAGGTTAAAATGTATACGACATTTTGAAAACCGGATCCATTTTTGTCTTCAGGTGTATGGCATAGTCGCACCTACTCTGTTAGGTCCAATAGAAAGAACTAGTCTCAATCACTAGACCAGTGTATACTTTGTACACATTTTAACCTTGGATGATGTACAAAGTCCAAAAACCCAACAAACTCATCTATATCACACCATCATCAGAACCCATATTAATAGCTTATATGGCACCCTATTAAATTTGCAGCTATATAAACTACTGCACAGGAATCCTCGGTCCTTTTAATGTGCATAAAACAGTAATTTCAGTTGCCTATAATTGACTCCCATTAGAGAAATTTTTAAATGGAAAAAATTGGGGAAACAATCTTTGTTCTCAGTTGTAAAGATATATGTAGCATTTTTATGTATTTGGTTTTAAGGTAAATAAATAAACTCCAAAATAAAATTGGTATAAAATATTAAAAAGTAATAAATATTATATACTAATAAACACTGCAGTGGTCATGGAATACAGTCTGTTCTTAATTATCAGCATTTAGAACTTTAGCAATATAGATTAACTACAAATCTAAAAAATAAGTAAATAAGAGTAATAACGGTTTTGTTATTCATGTGAACCAATTGTGTGATATTCTTTGATCTTAACACTTAACACCACTAAATTCCATACTGCAGCTCTGTATTTGGATAGATGCAGTTTCACCACGACTTCTAACATCACAAAGTTGAAAATGAAAGCTGAAACACAAATTTCCAACTAAAATTAGTGCACACAGAAATACTGCAAATTGTTTTGAAAGTGAGGAACAGGACAAAGGGCTGATTTTATTGAAATAACTCTCTTACAGTGATACAGAACTGTTTTGGAAATTTCCCTTCCTTTCATGTGGGAGTATGTGAGAATAATACTGACTGAACATATGGGAGAACAAATAAAAAGTGGCCAAAGCTGGCATAGGAATTTTACATTATTAACAAAACTTCAAGTATTCACTTCATCTATATGACACTTCTCAACACATGAAATGTCATATATATAATTTGTACACATATTCTGTTATACTACTATATTTATTATGCCAGGTATAATAATTCATCAATCTTCATTATCAATTTAAAAATTGGGTGCATCTTTATCATGTTATTAATTTCTTTTGTGGTGATTCGGTCTAAACAAAAGTTTAATAAACCTTGAAAATGTTACAGTAAATATTTTGTAAGCATAAAATAGATGGCATTAATGTTTCCTCCACCCAGAAGTTGTGAAAAATGTTAATATAATTAAAGGCAAGGATTTAAAACTGGCATCATCATGAAATACAATTAAATAATTTTCTTAATGGTTTTTAAGAAAATATCCATTTTGTTTGAAAGTTAACCCTCTTATAAAGTTCCTCATATAAACATTGTTAGAAACAACAGTTATTCTGTCTAGTGAATTCTTTTTATGTTGAGACTTTTCTCAGTTAATATTATAATATAAGGATTTATGTAAAATCATTGTTACAAATATTGTTCGCTCTTTTATTTAATTTCTTACAGGAAGGATTGTTGGATATTGACATGGAGTTTTCAGACGGCTTTCGGACTCCACTACGTGATGTCGCTGTGAGTGATTTCTACCTTCTGGTGGACAGTTTAGATCCTGAAGTGGTTGCATTTGCTCCAATGGTTGCTTCTCATCATCCACGTGTAATAGCTGTGGGTGAGGGTCACGGTGATCTACTGCGGGTGGCCCTTCTGCTGGCTGAAGAATGTCGTGGGAGTACGGCAGTACGTCGAGGTGGTGCTAGCGGTGGAGCCAGTAAAAGTACTGGCAAAGGCAATATAGGAGGACCATTAGCAGCTGCATCAGCACACGTTGATGTGGACTTTTCTGCTAGTGAAGTGCCACAGAGGCCGGACTTTGTGCAGAATGATGGAGGTGGAAATGTGGGATCAGGCCATGGTGGACGTGACAGGAAAAATAGCAGAGAGATGGCTGCTGATCTGCGTGACATTCTGAAAGGTACTACTGTGTAACTTTCCACATTTAATTTTATTGTAACAATGAGAACTGCTCTGCCTAGTTCTGCAAGATGTGTAAAATTGTTAGATTATTTCATAAAAATCAAATAATCTGTAGTTCTTGGAAACAAAATATTTTGCACCATAATGTGTATATGAATTATAGGTAACACAAAATTATCCTGTAGGCTTCAACCAGATCAGATCAAAGCAAACCTAGCACAATGTGCATCATTGCTTCCTGCTTAGAATATTTTACGGCCATTAGGTACAGAACCGCCACGGTGGTCTAGCAGTCAGAATGCTGGGCTTATAATCTTGGGATCCCGGGTTTATAAGGCCGTGGTCCAGGTATCATGGAATTTTCGTCCGGGGCTTCCCCGGTTTCTCCATGGCATCCCAGCAATTACTCCATTTTCATCATCGTTTGACACTAAGCACACAGAAGAAGGCAACGGCAAACCACTTCTGGATCATTTGCCTAGGAAACATATGAACAGGTCCCTATCAGAGGGAACTTGTTCATAATGTCACCAGGGGTTGGCTCTGACCCGATGGTACAAAAAAGAGGAACAGACACCTGAATGGTGACTGGATCCCACTTGAATGTTTGTTTAAAGTATGGCCCAATTGGAGGCATATGATATTGTCTGAATGCCCCCCTTTATGTATATTCTTCCCTTAAGCTCTATTTGGTCTCTTGTCATTGTAGTATATCCACGTTATATTACATAATGATGCATCTTTTTGGCACTAAAGTGTCCTGACCTATATTTCAACTGTATATCAGTAAGAATGGGCTTAAAATTCTTTGAAAACTATGTGCTGTAATATTTTCTAACTTATATTATACAATTGAAAAATTATTATTTTATATATTGTAGAGTTGAATACAAAGGTAATGTAACAGTATACCAGGAAGTAAATATAATGTTTTAATAAGTAATTTCAGAAATATCTTTTCTAATATTGAAAACAATTTTTTTACAGAAAATGTAATACAGCCCACAGAATGCCTTGTTGCTGTTGGTTATTAAACTCAGAATAGTTATTTTATCTTGTGGTACATCATGGTCACTGTGGGATGTTAGTTTTAATATTCATATTAATATTCGTTATTCATTAAATTCCATTACTGTTAATTCTTCTGTTCATTACAGGTATTCCACTGAAGGATGAAAACAATCACGAGCCAACAGTTGAGGCACGTCAACACCATTCAGCTGCTGCTAATGGTATGGCATCAGGAGTTGGAATGAGACCGCACAACAGCATGCACATGACTCCCCTTGAAATTGGAATGTATGTACTGCTGGCAGCCTTCTGCTTTGCTATTGTGGTGTTTGTTGTATCATGTGTTGTGTATGCCTCCAAGTTTAAACCTCAGGCTATAGATTCTTCAAGCGGTAATACTGGTGGAGGTTCAAGTGGTCTTCACAGTTTGGGTGCTGCAGTTAGTAAAGTTACAGGAGGTAGTGGAATTAGCAGCATTGGTTTGGCTGCTAGTGGACATCTGGGAGGAAAAAGACAGCCACGAGAATCCACAACAAATGCACATGATTGGGTTTGGCTAGGCAGGGCGACTCTTGAACGAGCATCCGGTCACATGGTGACAGGCGAGATCTCTAGTCCTGGCATATCTCCACCTATATGCAGCAATAACAATAATGTGTCTGGTAAAGAACAGATAAACATCACTTCAAATCCTATGAGTTATAGTACAGCAGATAATATGGAAAATGAACAACAAAATCTAGCAACTTGTTTTGACAACCCTAACCATATTGATCTGCCATCACGACCACCAGCCATTGACAGCGCAACCTACAGTAAGAAAGAGAAGATTCCAAGCAGACATCACCATCCTGCGCCACCTCCTACACCAAAGCAACATCATAAGTCCCAGCATGTGGTCAAGGAATCCGCTGCAGATAAATTGTGGCAAATGTAAGTGTTGCTAATACTATGCTAATGTCAGCTTGTTCTCTTTCTCTACACTTTTGCTGAAAAAATATGGGGTTTATCACATTGTAAAGAACTAATCTGTTTTATTCCACAATTAATTGGTTTGTTAATTGGCTGAGATTCCATTAAGGCAAAATGTATTTAATTTAAAACAAAATATTACCTGCTTCCATAGTTTATGTAACTGAATTAAATTTTTTGTCATAATCATAGAAACAGGAGTAGTGAAGACAACTGATACTAATAGAGCAGACTATAAAACCATCACCGTTAGCTGAAACATCCTTTAAGATTTCAGATGTTACCATTGGATTTAAGAATTTAAACAAGATCAGCTGTATTCTATTTGAGTTTCTACATAATATATATGTAATAATGTAAACACACATTTGAATATCCTCACACATTACTAATTTTTCCAGCACACCTCCTCCCCCTCCACTTCCACCACATGGTATTCCACCAGAGAAACAGCTGCAACATCATGGAGAAAGTGCAGAAGGAACTGAGGCAGCAGAATACAAGCCTCCAGTTCCACCTCATCGCAATATAGGTGTTACAGCCCGCATTGGTCCTTCGAGGCAGCCAGGATTAATGCCTGGATTTTTACCACAGCACCAACAGCCACCACCTCCACCTCCACCACCACAACAGCAGTTACCAGATAATGGTATTACCTGTGTAACTGCAGATCAGAGGGTCGATGCAATTCCGGCAACTGCGATGGCCCCAAATCCGGCCCCACCGCGGCGCCATCATCACCATCATCACCATCACAGAAACATCAACAATAATCACCGCAATGGCAAATTCAGTTCTTCTGTGCATCACCATGCAGCCGATTCAGTTGCTGTACCTAAACCTGTGGACCATCTACCTGAGGAGACTAACAGTAGGCAGAAGAACTATAACCAAGAATTAACCAATCTCCAGCAGCTGAGGTACCATCACTCGAAAGAAGACATTGCCAAAAATCAGCAACCGAAACGGCAGTTCAAAGAAGGAACGTACATTACATCCCGAGAGGAAGATGATGACGATGAAGATGCCCTTCCTGATCCTACTTTTGTAGAGTTTCCATCTGAAGGTGTCATGGCTTGTGGTGGAGTCCAGCACAGAGGCAACAGTCCGGAAGTGAAGCGAGCAACAATAGTGGGAAATCCCATGTTTTCTGCCACAGAATATGATGGTGAGGCTGAAGATTTCAGGGTGCAAGAGGAACTTCTTGGTCTGGAGGACCTCAATCTTGGTATGAACTATGACCAAATTATGGAATACTTTGATAATCTGAAGGAATCCAATGCTTGAATTCACCTGCACATTTCTTGCCTACTGTAATAGCTGCAGCTGAAATAAAACATTTTTACTGGTGTAAAATGTAACTGCAACATCCACCTAACGGTGTGAAGAGGAAGTGATCTTTATGTATTGTGTTCTCAAAAGTGATAACATTTATTCTACTCTAGTCAAAAATTGTCACTACTGCTTAAAACAGAAGCACTATGAAGCTTCAAGAACTTAGAATTAAGACATTATCTAATGGTAAAATTATGTGAACCAACTAACCTAACCTCACAAATCCACTTGTCTTCATGTGCCATTTAATTCTGTACACCAGTTAATGAAAAAATCCAAAAATCAAACTGTGAGCAAATTACTTATATCATATGTGACCATAACAACTTAGAATTTTGTCACATAGCTTTATAACAAGTAACGGGACATTCCTCGACTACAAAGTAAATCATGCGTCATTTCTATTTCTTTGTACATAAATATGTTGTGACTTCTGGGTATTAATATTATTACATCATATCAAAGTCATCATCTATCAATGCATGGAAAATTTAGAGAGCATGTTGAATGGATTTCAGAGTATAAGGTATTGTGGTTACTAGATTGTCAGACATGGCCAGTAAATTACGATAGAATGTTTGATGTTCCTATTTTCCCCACCTTACTACTTGTAGTTACATAAATCCATAAATACAGAGAACAATTTATTCATTATCTGGGACATAAACCAAGAATACTCTTCTTTTGTCTTTCTAATCATAAGAACATGGCGCAGTTATACTACATCATGCATTTTTTTAATTTGAACTTAACTATTGTATAAAACAATCATTTTCATAGTTTTATTATGGAAATGGTCACTTATTCTTTCTTTATGTAGTCACACTTTAGATATTTATTGCAGTTTTCCCTTGTAAATTTTGTGTTGTAAAATTTTGTAAATATAGAAATGATTCATATTGTATGCACCATGACACTGTTGCACATTTTATATAAACAAATTAATATTTACCAAATTTGTATACATATGAGAGAATAATTGTAGTAGAAGTTTCCTTTTCTTGATAGTTTCTTTTAATGTCCTGGCAAGGACACCTTATAAATGGCATGGTAATCTGTATCCTTTCAGTACCATATCAAAATTTGTTGGTATTGGCAGTAACAATTTCTTGCTAGACTCATAGCTAAGTTTAGAGAGTAGAATTAATTATACCATTGTTGTTAAATGAATCCCATCTTCAATATTGCCAAGTTTAGTCTGGAATGAATAAAAGATATCCTCCTTCACAGTGATAAATTGTACGATGTTGTTTTAGAAGAAATACCGAATAAAAAGATTGCCCATATCGAAATATCAGTTGCTGTAATGAAATATGAATAGCATTGTTATTGAAACAGCTTTTGAATACTGAAGCATGCAATCTGACATATTAGTGTGTTAGTGTTTCTATCAATGATCTATGTACACTAAATGTGATGTGCAAGTGTGTTGATGTATCTGTTAGTAGATGTACGTATGACGCAATGATTGAGTAACAGTACGTAAAAGTATGACTTCAAAGTTTCACTTGGCTTTTATATATCCTTAAGCGGCCCATCCATGTATGAGTCTGGCTCAGCGAGCTTGACTCGTGAGCGGGGCTCGGATATATTTCACCGCACATGCATAGTAGACTCGGCTCGTGACACCCCACCCACAAACGCGTCTGGCTCAATGGAACCCGAGCCGAGCCGGACTCACAAGCCAGACTCGTACGTGGATGGGCTGCTTTAAAACTCATAATATTAGCATTACACTGATGACAGTGTACAGTCCTGTGCTCAACATACTTTACTGGCATTTTTGTCGTCAATATCTATGATCGCTGCATGCGATGTTACTTTCTAAGTAATGAAAAAGTGAAATGGCACTTGCGTGTCAGTTTAATGGATGACTAACTCAGCACTGTCATTCAGTATTGCAATATAGACATTTAACTTAAGTTACACTGTCTGTAATTTCTTGAAATGTATGATATCAGAATGAAAACTTTAAGTGTACATATTAATGTCAGTCAACATAATGTTAAAGAATAAGTATACAGCTGTTGTCTCACTAAGTAGATGTATTCTCAATGAGGCTGTCACTGCAATCAAACAAATTCACTCATGGATACTCAGTTGATGGAAAAGAGAAGTGAACAGACACAGATAAGTGAGATTCAGGTTCTCTCGGTGATGCATTTGAAGATAACATTGTACATTTTGGAAAATCCCTTCAGTGCTTACTTAACATGGTGTATTAGATTTCCTCCTTATGTGTGTTATAAGAAATTTGATATTAGTAAGCACAGAGTTGAGCAAACAGAGCCATATTCTAATCTTAACATCCGATTTGGCCCCACAGGCCACCCAGCCTATGGGATCAGATGAATAGACGTCAGTAATGAACGTGCTGACTGTTTAACATTTAAGATAATTGTATGCCTAATGTCTTCAATACAAATAAAACCATTTATAATCTTTGTGTATTCAGCTATCCATAGAAGAAAGTAAAGTTCAAATTGAAGTAATGTATACGTAGCGTTACGGTGTACGAGGGAGGTCAGAAATTAAGTTTTTATGTTTGTTGGTAAATGGATAGAAAAAAGATGGAAGCTAACACCACTTTCAAATGGTTACAGCGTCACAGATGTGGACAAAGGAAGAAGTTTGAGCTGATATTCAGATTCTGTGAGCTAAGTAAATCGCAACAGTAGGCATTCTCTGGGTATTTATTTATCTGTATGACAACATGATATCAGTGAAGATAGCAAGGAAATAGAATCAGAGTCCTCTATTGGTTGGTATAGTTCAGTGGACAAGACCAGAATTAGATGATCGTCCACCTTAACTGATCTGGTCACAATGAGTCACTGCATGCAGACAGTTGAGTAACTGCAGCAAGTGAAGAATAAGTTTAATTGTTCTCATGGTGTTACATGGGACATTGTCCATGAAGATTGTGGTTTCTGGAAAGTGAGTAGCCAGTGGGTGCAGAAGCAGTTGATTGAACAACAAAATACATGAGCACATAGCAACATCCCTTGAAGTACTTGGAAGCATTTAATCAGATTCTGGCACACGCTGTCACAGGCGATGAAACACGAGCACACTGATACTCTCTGTTTAAGGCCAAGCTTGTATCATGGGAGCACCTATGTCCTCTGCCACCAAGAAGTTCAGATTCACGTCCGGTGTTGGGGACACTGTTCTAGGATTTGCATGATATCATCCTATTGGAGTTTGCCCGACGTGGGAACATATCAGGAAATTTACATAAATAAGAGGAAACATTTTTCACGTGTATGCTCCAAAAATGAATCTGACAAAGAACTGCTCACTACAAAATGAATGAAACAGCTGTTGAATGTGTGGGATTGTGAGGCTTTGCACAATCCTTCCTATAGTTTATATATGACAGTGTGTAATGTCAATCTTTCAAGTTAATTTAAGCACTCGTCCCTAAGATGACATTTTAAATCAGATGAGGTTGTTAAGGAAGATGTGGGGACATGGGACCCAACTTTTCACCAAAATGATTTGAGCCTACTCGTACAACAAATGTCTCAAGTTGAATGGTGATTACATTGAAAAGTATTCTGTGTGCTTACGTATGTTGTCTATGCAGATTAATAAAACAGGGAAACTTACTTTCTGGCTTCTCTTTGTACTAATTTCATTACTATTGATTTATAAGGAGAAAGAAGACAAAGAAACCACAGTTAGATTTTGTTATTACTTTTGTGCATATCATGCTGTATTTTTTGTTGTTTAAGGACTTAGTTTTTTATCTACATCAGCTTATTTTTATGACATTTCAGGGTGACATCATTTTACAATAAATGACAAATATTAAAGATAATATAACATTCATTTTAAAGAAATTCGGTAATCACTTAAAAACAACTGGTATGTAGGCACCTGCTTTTGGTATAACGGTGTAGGATTTGGTTTTTGGAACATTTAAAATGAAGGATCCATTAGAAAATTATTTTAGAAGCCTGAAAACTGAAATGCTGGCATTAATGGTTGAAAACTGCATATAAAAAATTATACACATACTTTAGAAAAACTAGTTCATTTACTACCTCAAGTAGGTAGGAAGGACTGAAGAAAAATGTAATTTGTACTGACGTAATCCCTTCTTACAGAGAACAAAAGATACAAGAATTCATTTTTAAACAGTTCAGAGAAATTAAATATTCTCAGACAGGCATCCTGCCTCCAGCATTCCTTTCACATGTTACAACTCCTGTGCTGTAACATTTTTTTGACTTTCAAATATTTTTTTAATGTTTGTTGGTTGCATTAATAATTCAATTGAATGCTCCTAGGGAAACCAATTACAGTGTTCATATGTGACATATCTCACAAGTTCAGAAGGGATAATAGTGAATGGAATACAGCTTTTTCTTTTTCCATACTGAAAATATTTTCACACTTGAAGAAGAGAAAATTCACGGTAATGGCTCACTGGTAAATAAGACATATATATCAGGAAGCTCTGAAGTAAGTAAGTAAATACATCTCTTATTTTCATGTACATGTTTATTAACCCTTGCCTTCATGTGTCATCACATACGTGTATTACAGCTGGTCATGTGGCGCAAAACTGTTAACACCACAGTTCAGAGTTAATTTGTAGTCAGTATGGGCGTTAATTTAACCTATTCTGATTCATAAACTTCTTCAATAATTTCATTTACAGTACTAATTCTATTTGCAAAGAAAAAATCTGGCATGCCACAAGTGTATGCAAAGCACAATAATGATCAGGATTTTGGTTTTTCATTGCCCATAGACTTTTCAATTCATGGATGTATCTGGTAAATAGTGTGTATAGATAGAAAACACGAATTTTAAAATGGCGCCAGTGATCATCGTTTTGCAGAACTTTATCTCATTGCAAATATTTAGTTTTCTCTCTTCAATGGGTTATTTCTAGTGGGCCCAGAGATATTCTGATGCGATTTTAAGGTCACACTTGCATAATGTTTCCGTTATTGTTACTCTATTTTAAACAAAACGGAAATGTATGAACAAATTGTAACACAACTCACAAACAAAAAGCAAATTCACTTTAAGTCTTAAAAGGATAAACAAAGGTTTAAATTACGCGCCAAACTACTTTGGTCAACATTTACAGTAAGCATGGCGATCTACACCACTTGTGTAGTAGAGGTAAACAAGTCAGAAAATGTTCGCGGGTCCATGCGTTTAAACCTTCCCCAACAGATGGCGAGGCAGTTCACTTATCCTCACACTAGTTCATGTCTTTGCAAATACAAGGCGCGGCATGTCACGTAACTTTGAATTTTCGATGTATCTCTCCGGGTAATAGACTTCCAAGTCAGAAATGATTCGCGGGCCCATTACTTCATGTCTTCGCCAATAGATGGCTCGGTAGTTCACTTTAAAGAAATAGAATCGGCGATTGCACTACGCTCTTCTAGCCTAATTATGAACTACTTCTGAAGCTATTGTCCCAAATGCCTATGAAAATATCGACGTTCCTAATAAAGATAGTTGTCTTTCCGTATGTCAGAATTTATTAAATTTTTCGTACTTAATTTTCAGTCTTAAACTCGTCTCGTTTACAGCCTTTAAGATTGAAATTTTTTAAAAAGAATTTTGTGTTGTGCTCTTCTTCAACAATTTCCAACATTTTTGATTTTTCGAAACTTTTGTTAAAATTCTCCCCACCCGGTGTCTGCCCGACTCGGTCTCGGCTACACTCAGTCTCCGTCTCACCCGGTCTCTGCAAGACTCAGTCTCCGCCTCAATCGGTCTATTCCACTCATTCTCTGCCTCACACGGTCTCTGCCGTACTTGGTCTCTGCCTCACCCGGTTTCTTCCGGAACCGGGCTTTGCAGTGACGACCCGTCAGAGACCGGGTCATACAGAAACCAGATAGAGTAGAGACCGGGACCAGGTCCTTCAGAGACACGTTCCTTCAGGGAACGGGTGAGGAGAATGTTGAAAAATATTTTCAAATTTTTCTAAATTTTCAAAAAATCGAAAAATGCTGGAAATTGTTTAAAAAGTGCACAAAACTAAAAGAATTTGAAAAAATTCAAATTTAAAATCTTTTCCAAAAATTCCATAACTTTTGGATTTGTGCGCTTGTTAGACAAATTCCAGAATTTTTTTATTTTTAAAAAAATTAAAAAATTTCATTAAATTTTAAAACTTTTCCCTACGCGATTTCTACCAGAATCGGTCACTGAAACACCAGGTCTCTGCCAGACTCGGTCTATGCAGCACTCAGTCTCAGCAACTCTAAGACAATTTTAGATTGCCTCTGCTACTCCCGGTCTCTGCCGAAAACAATCTCTGCAACACGCAGTCTCTACTAGACTCGGTCTCTGCCGAAATCCATCTTTGCATCATCCGGCCTTTAAACGAAAACGTCCCTATAGATAAGCACAATCAGAGACCGAGCCATACAGAGACCGGATCGTCCAAAGACCGAGTCCGGCGGATAACGAATGCGGCACAAACCGGATTTTTCAGTGAAAGTGTGAGGATAATTTGAGAAATTTCCATTTTTTAAAATGCTGGAAATTGACAAAAAAGCGCATGAAAATAACAATTTCTGAAAAATTCCGAATTAAAATCTTGGACTTAAAGACTTGGGACAAGTGACTTCTCAAGACGTGGGACAAGTGACTTCTCAAGACTTGGGACAAGAACTTCTCAAAACTTGGGACAAGAACTTCTCAAAACTTGGAACGAGTGACTTCTCAAGACCTGGGACAAGTGACT